CTTATCTGACAGTCTCTCTGTATCTCTCCCCCGCTCTTTCTCTCTCCGCCGAGTCATGGCCAATACACCGTCAATCCAGGTTAAAAATCTGTCATATAAATTTCAAGACGGTTCTTCCGGCCTGGCAGATGTAAGCCTCGACCTACCTGCCGGAAGTCGAACTTTACTAATCGGGGGTAAGCACGTTGTTCGGCCCGCAATTGATTATTGATTATTGATTATTTTTTTTTTAATGGCTAACGTCAACGGTAGCCAATGGAGCGGGAAAAACCACCCTTCTACGGTTGCTCGCGGGCAAGCGTCTCGCTCCCGATGACACGATCACCGTCGGGGGCAAGGACCCCTTCAAAGAAGGTCTGGAGGGGGTGACTTATCTAGGCGTCGAATGGGTTCTTAACAATATTGTCCGGACTGACATCGACGTTCCTACACTGCTGGCTTCTGTGGGCGGGAACGCCTATCCTGAGCGGAGGGATGAGCTTGTGGATATTCTCGATATTGACTTGCGGTGGCGCATGCATGCAGTGTCTGATGGAGAGCGCCGCCGCGTCCAGTTAGCCATGGGTTTGCTCCGACCCTGGCAAGTCCTACTTCTCGATGAAATCACCGTTGACCTGGACCTGCTATCCCGTCATAATTTTCTCTCTTTTCTCAAGCGCGAGACTGAAACTAGATCCTGCACCATAGTGTACGCGACGCATATTTTGGACAATTTGTCTCAATGGCCAACGCATTTGGTGCACATGAATCTTGGTAATGTCAGGCAGTGGGGCCCAATTGCAAAGTTCCAGAAAGAAGTGCCAGAAACGTCTGAAAATAGCCAACTTGGAGAGCTCGTTCTAAAGTGGCTCAAGGAAGATCTCAAGGCCAGAGGTCCTAGAAATGGGCGGCATGGCCAAGCCAAGACCTACGAGTCGTTTGATGGAATGGGGGGTTATGGGTATGAAAAACGGAATTGAATCCATCCCTCTAACCCTGTCAGCTTCTCTTCCAAGTTTTAAACCTCTCTCCCGTATTCGTCTTTTTTTCGCCGGTTTTCTTTATTTGCTTTCTTTTCTTTTCTTTTCTTTTTAGCTTCTTTCTCCTTTCTTTGATCATTTATTTATTGATATTTCCGCCTCATTCAACTATATTTACTTTTACCATGGCATGGCATGCAAGGGTTTCACTGCATTGAAATTTGAGGATCAACTCCAGCGGATATGTTCAACATTCGATAATTCCTTCAACAGGCATAGACCTCGCCGATGTTCTTTGCTTTGTATTTGTATACATATAAGTCATATATCATCTCATGAAACCATGTTCGAAATAGCATATATACGTGTTGAGGTGTCCTCACTTGCAACGGCAAGCCTGAGACTATATTCGTCTCGGCTGGTATCGTATTTTGCAGAAGGTCGCCATGCGAGTTGTGTGATCGCTTTGGACGGGGATATTAGCTTGTCGATATTACCCAGATGGGTTGCCTCCAGGCCGTCAACTGCGATTTTGTATAAAGACAGTTCACCACTATCCTCGCCTGTAGCAAGGAAGACTGAGTTCGCCTGCGCCCTCGGGAGGAATGATATTGCGGTAACGGAGCTCTTCAGTGTGATTAATGTTTTGCATACAAAGGACCCGTTGCTAATTTGCCAGATTTTCACTAACTTATCGCGACCAGCTGTGGCGAAAGTGTGGATATCCGGTACCGGGGCCCAAGCAGCATCCAAGATCATTCTTGAATGGCCTTTAGGGTGAGATTCCATGAGTGAGAACGCAGATCGATCTTGTTCACTGCGACAGTAAACTGCCCATTGCCGATCTCGACCAACACTCAGAAGGTACTGGTCATCGCTAGAAAAGGAAAGGCTCGTAATAGTTAAAGAATGTGCTGCTAGGGAAGGCCGTATCTCATGCCAGTCCGATGTATCATAGAGACGAACCACTGCATGATCTATTGAGCTCGCCTTACAGGCTGTAGCAATGAGTGTGCAGTCATAACTGACAGCCACAGCCGAGATTTCATAGCCATGACCATAGAGTTTTTCGTGCTCTGGCCATAGTGTGTAGCGCGCTAGCTGGTCCTCTAAGGGTGGCTGGTTTGAATCCGAGAGTATTGTTTGATTTGCCTGAGCTTGTCCAATAGTGGTAGCATTTGCCTCCTCCCCCTCCCCCTCTCCCATTGGAGCTTCTCCCATCGATTGATTTGAGAGACCCAAAACCGGGATCTGAGCCATGTCTGGCAGTTCTCCTTCTGCAGATTGTTTGAATCCAGAGAGTTTGTCTAGTAACATAGCGATTGGTTTGGGCTCGTCGAAAACCCGCAAAAGCTTCTCATCTGCACCGGAAACGAAGCGCGCAGGTCCCAATGTATCGACACAATTCAGGTCATAGCCGTGAATTTGTGGCCTCGAGAACTCATGCCAAGACTGTTTTCCATCACGTAGCCATTGGGCATGAAGTCGAGTCGTCTGGTCTCCACTGGTAGACAACAAATAACCCCCAGTAGGTTCCCACCGTACGCCATTAACCGAGCGCACATGTCCCGATATGCCCAGGGTCTGCACCCAGACATCCGCATCCGCATCGTAGCTCCATGCCCTCCAGCTACCTGTTCGTCCAAGACTTACTACTTGGTTACCGTCCGGTGACCAGAGGCCAATCCAGAACCCACCGGTGCTACCTGTAGCTGTAGTAGACCCCTTCTGAACACTGATTTCCCCCATCCTTTCAGCTGAAACCCAAACTCCAGAGACGGTATCTTGTTCCCAGATAGTCAAGGTATTATCCGCAGAAGCAGAGAGAAGTTGTTGACGTTCGGGGCTGGGGTTCCATGCAGTAGTGTAAATCCAGTCCTCGTTCCCGAACAGAAGAGCTTCGAAAGTAACAGAATACTTCGACCCCGCTGCATTAAATTGATGAGCTTTATTTGATAGCGTCGGTTCGAGTTCGCCTAGCATGGGGTCCTCTTCTCCTGCCGCCCCTGCAAGGGTAACCTCCCCACGTTGGATTCGCCAGAGGCGAATATACTTGTCCTGGCTAGCAGACGCGAGCAAAAGGTCTCCTGTTTTGCTCTGCTTATCCCGCGTAAACGACAGAGAACGCACCCAAGCCTCGTGACCGGATAGCACAGCAGCAAGCCTGAAACTAGTATCACCGAGCGGATCTTCGAGGATGTAGATATGTATGATGTTTGTAGTGCCTGCAACTGCCAATATCATGGGTCCATCTGCCTGGAGCGGCTTCAGTGCCAATGCCAGAGGGAAAAAGCGTGGCTTCATAACTATAGTTGTGAGTAACTCGCTCTTGGTTTCTTCTCCCTGGAACATTATTCTCCAAATTTTAACACTTCCATCTGCCGCTCCAGATGCAACGAGATCCGCTCCATCACTGACAGCGATTGCGTTTATCGAGCTTGTATGACCTTCTAGAGTTTGCGCATGAGTGAATTGGAGATGGGTACCCGTTACACCTCGCCATATCCGAACTGTGTGATCGGCAGCAGCAGTAACAAGGAATTTTGTGCCCGTAACGGGATATGTGTAGAATCTAACGGCATTGACCTTGTCGGTATGGCCGACAAGAAGAGAGTAGACCCCACGCTGAAACTTATCCTGCGCGCGTAATTAGATGCTCAGCCAACATCCATGATACAAGGCAGTAGATACGAAGCACAATCAAGTTCTACGAGATTATTCATACCTTCGGGTCCCACAAAGCCACATTGTTGTCCGCACCAAAGGCAAGCACACCGGACTGAACATCCCAGTCAGCGGCGGCGGGATGCCTGTTTCCGCCGACACTGATATAATCGCTTGTGATGGATACCATGAGCTTGGACTTTGGGGGTCTAATACCTATATGGTATATTTGCCGAAAATCTTTGTTGCGCGGAGACAAAGATATAAAGGAAGGATTGTTGCAAATACTGGAGGCCACCACTGGATGACTTTTTGTGCTGCGAACCCTCTGACGCTTATCGATAAGGGCGACGGCTCACGACACTGCAAAACCCCTCTCCTTCCTTCCCACCACAGCTGGGCCTCCATGCCCAGTACATACTGTGCACTCCAGCAGGGCTAAACCAAACATTCCAATATATTTCGGTGTAATATTTTAACATGACCGCCGACACAGGGATTAGTCTTGAAAGCGCGAGGGCGGAGGCTCCTGGCTCTTTCTCTCTCACCGTTGAGTTCACGTTCGGTTTCCCCCTCGCTACCCGGCTATTGCCTTGGTCAGATAAGTTGCTAACTTCCTGATACCATACAGTGGTGGTCTTGAAATGCTGTTCTCTAATGAGCGCAAGCACAGTGTCACACTACCTGCTCGGCTGAGTGACGGTGGCCGGCCGAAGATAAGCTTCCTCCTCAAATACCTTGTCAAAAACGTGATGAAGGATGAGAGAGAGGAATTGTTCATATTGGAGGACAATGTGTACGTCTCCTTGGAGTCATACTAAGTAAGTGAGCTAATAGTAGATATTAGGCGTCCCGGTATCCTTGTCCTCATCAACGATGCAGATTGGGAACTGGAGGGCGAAGAAAACTATGAGCTCCAACCTGGCGACAACATTGTCTTCGTTTCTACGCTACATGGAGGATAACAATTCTTATATAATATGTTCTCAATCCTACCCATCGATGCCACAAAGATGACAGGATCAGGGCCGGTAACTATAATCGCTGCTCTTCAAAAACCGATTGTACGAAACACAGGGTTAAACAACGTCCTCAACATGCTGCTGCGATATTCTCTCGGGCTCACGAGGGGTCCGAAGTCCGCTTTGTGGCGTCGAAAACCCTTCTTGTGGACTACTTAACCCTCCAACCAAAGGAGTGGTGACCCCACTGGGGGGCACAGGTATTTTGATGTCTTGGGGTGAGCCAGGAATGATTTCCTTGGGGAGGTCCGGAATATGGATCCTACGAGCCTCATTTTGATAGCTTTCCGGGATGATCTGAGGAAAGTAATTAGTAAAATGTTCAATTGTTCGACTCGTTGCATTCATACCTCAATTATCTCGTCCCGAGGGAACTCTAGGAATGGAATATCCGCCGCATTACATGCCATAAGATAGCCGTATAGAACCCTTAGGACGCTTTCATGTGCAATAATGAGGAGATCATTCTGCTCACGTTCAAGTTCCAATATTATAGGTTCAAGGCGCACAGCAAGGTCGTGATACGACTATAATAGCGAAACTCGGTCAGTAACCGTCATATCAACGAGAAACAGAGTACCTACCTCTGCCCGAGGGTACCTATGGTGATAAGGATCCAATTCATGCTTTGCTACCTCGTCTGGATATTCTTCACGAATCTTCTTTTCTGACATCTTCTCGCAAACACCTGGGTTCAATTGGCTCAGTTGTGATCTCTGTCGGACTTTGTATCCGGTCTCGTGAAGATACTTTGCGGTTTCGATTGTCCTACGCCTGGTGGAAGTCCAAACTGTCAACGGTTTCAACTCATAGTCTGTCTCTCCTTGGTCGATTGTTGCTTGCTTCTCAGACTCTCTGTGCCTCAGTAGACATTCAGTCATTTTCTTAGCATAGTCCTCCCCTTGTTCTGACAAGGAAGCATCAGCTTTGTAAGAGTCAGCTTCCAGGGAAACACCGGCCTGGGGATGTATTTGTCAGACACCGGACAAGACATGAATGATGTAAGACTGCAAGTTGTTCACCCACCCGTGCGAAATATGTATGTCTAGATTTTATGTGAAGGTTGAGAAGATAAAAAACGATACGATGGGAAAGATAACCAAAACTTCGATTGTTAACAATCAACCTTTCGCCAGCATTGATCATCTGCTTCAAGTTAGTATATATCTCAAGGCTCAAGATGAGGCGTTATCACCTTGATATAGTTCAGGTCTTTTTCCTCCATCGTCTGGAACTGAGGGATCCGAGCGTGTATACGGGTCAAATAATGCTTCACTGCCTCCTCCGAGGTCCAGCCTACATACTACTAAATATCAATCGTTGGATTCAAAGCATCGACTGCCGCTGGGGAGGGGCATCTACTCACATCGGGTGAAGATATTTTTACCCGAAGGACATTCTCTTCGATAATGCGCTCATCATCGCACCATGACTCGATAAAAAGGGTCTAGTCCGGAGATACTCGTAAGCACTGTCCATGCATGGTCACAGGTGATAAGCATTTGCATACCTCAATATCATGCTTGGCGAACTCCTTCGCAAGCGATCGTCGTCCTGAAGCCAAGGGGTTAACAGCATCATATATTGCTATCTGGCCATTTTCATCATTCAAAAATTGGTATATGTCTTCCCGGCACCGTTTTACAATCTTTTGTCTCAGAAGGACTGAGGAAGCAGATGCTATTTTCGTTTAGCGGAATCAAGAATGACGTAAGTGAACGAGAGTCGCCCAGCTACTGAGTATTATAAACAGCTCAGCGGGTAGTTCACTAACCGTTAACGAAGAAATAATCATCAGGGATGTCCTGGCCAACTGGGATAGTGGCACGTCTGTAGTCTCCAAGGTGGAAAATCCTAGTCTTAACGCCCAACCTGCGATGCAATTAGCTCTGACGAAGGAAGTCGACGATATAACACAACGCACCACCTAAGATAGCGCGCCAGAGCTACCGATATATGTCTATATTGGTGCAATGAGTTAGTAGTGGCATTAGTATAAATACAGCGGGTCTGGTAAACAAACGTCTTGCCCCTTGCTGGTAAGCCCACAGTAATAATGACAATCCGCCCGGAGTGGAAAAGTCGACCGGACTCTGTACTATACAACTGAGCCGGTGCTAAATCGGCCTTTTCGGGGAGGTCATGAATTGCATCAACAAATGTTGACGACTTGCGCCGGAATCGCGGGGAGTTAGCAACAATATCCGCGGTTCTAGCCTGATGTCAATGTGAATGAACTCGTATTAAAAACCGTACATCAGTTCCAGATCGTGAGGGGCCATTCCCCGAGTAGTCGTCTTTCGTCACCTCCGTGATACTATCAAGGGGAACTATACACAGAAGGAATAAGGTATCGGAGGGGCTTCGGAGCATAGCTTACAATAGGGTGTCCATAGTACAGTGAAATAACGTCAATGAGGCTCTGAGTCGTGAGGTGGCAGGCAACAGCAATAGACAGCTTTGGTTTAGAAGAGCCTAGATGATCGACAGTCAAAAACACGTAAAAAGTAAATGCAAGAGGAGAGAGAAAGATTCAAGAAGCTAAAGTAATGGGGTTATGGGCGAGGAAATGTGGGAAGAGTACGTTGGTCCAAGCAGTGAACCTTTTGGTTTCGGCGACGGAGGTATGTACTGTACAGCAAGAGTGCCCGACTCTACACCGAATAAGTCAGTGTTACTCCCAAGCAGAATTAGTTAGGAGTGGTCGATACTTCTCTAGATCTTTCCTGGAGCTCTAGGTATAAATTACACGAGGGTCAAAATGAAACTTTTAGAATCTAGAGCTCTACTTGGACGACTGCAGCTTCTACTAGGATACCTGTCTGCTGCAACTCGCTCGTCCCAAGCTCCTATCCCGAGAAGGCCCGAAAGAGGCTAGTGTATTTCGGCTGTCCGGAGACACCAAAGGTGCAACCGGGCGGAAAAGCAAAAGTGACTTTTTTCAAGTTCCAAAAGCGACGGAATACTCAATACCAAGTCAGTCAAACCTGCCCTGACATCCTTTTTCCTCAAACTCTTACTCGACCAGAGCAGGCCAGACATAGCCCGCCCTATAGAGGTCGATTTGCAACTGTCGCGGTTGCTCTCTTATATCTGAAGTTCGAGTAAAGGGCTGGTCTCAAATCCTTCCTTTGTTTTCAACCATTTTCTCAGGCCCGCGCGACGACCAGCCGTATCCATCATTGTTTTCCTCTCTTAACGACCATTAATCCTTTCCAATTAGTCACAATGGCCGAATACTTAGCTTCTCCTTCCTTTCTCACGGATAATTCCGTCGCTGCCGTCATAAAGGATGCATACACTTCTTTCTCAGAGCGAAGGGCTGCTCTCGGTCTGCCCAATCCCGGAACCGTGGATAACATCGCTAGGGAGGTGCAAAAGGAGGTCTTGCTATCGAATTTTATGTTCTCGGGTCTCCGGGCAGACCTAACGAAGGTCTTTGGCATGTCTCCTCTGTTTCGTGTGTCGCATGCGTTCTCCATGGGCTCGTCGGGGAACCTGCCTCCCTATGCCCTCTCGGCCATGTATGGAAGTCCAAAGGTAGGCTCTACTGTCACTCTGCAATCCCCTTCACCGTGATTCTGCTCTTTATTGTGGATACTGAGTGTATGATATGATTAAAGGTTTTCATGCAAGGTAATTTTGGAAGCGACGGCGCACTCGCCGCTGTCGGCAACTATCGTTGGAGCCCAAAGCTTGTCACCAAGACCAACACTCAGATCATGGCTGGTGCCAGCCAGGGTCTTATGCAGATCGACAATGACTACACTGGCGATGATTTTTCAGCCTCGATCAAGGCCTTCAATCCATCCTTCTTGGATGGAGGTCTTACTGGCATCTTCGTCGGAAGCTATCTCCAATCCGTTACCCCCAGCCTGGCTCTTGGATTTGAGGCCATCTGGCAGCGCCAGGCTATGAACACTCGCCCAGAAACTGCGATATCCTACAGTGCCCGGTACAAGGCCAATGACTGGATCGCCAGTGCTCAGCTCCAGGCTCAGGGCGTCTTCACAGCATCTTACTGGAAGAAACTTTCTGAGCGTGTTGAGGCCGGTGTTGATATGAACTTGCAGTTTGCGCCCAACGCAGCCGCAGCTCTGATGGGCGGTCCCAGCAGAGATGGTACCACTGCCATCGGTGCCAAGTACGACTTCCGAGCATCCACTTTCCGAGCTCAGGTCGACAGCGCCGGAAAGGTCAGCTGTCTGCTTGAGAAGCGGATAGCGATGCCCATCTCTCTTACATTCGCCGGTGAAATTGATCAGGCTAAGGTGAGTTGCTTTTACACCACTTCATTGCCTGTCGTGTTCAATTGTCTAATGTGTTTGGTTTTAGCAATCGGCTAAGCTCGGTCTTGCTGTGTCCCTTGAGATCGCTGGCGAGGAACTGATGGAGCAGCAAGAGAAAATTGAAGCCCAGGGCATGGTTCCTCCACCTTTCTAGGCCTTTTCGATACATAGTGGGGTTAATACAGCTCACCTGATTATGGAAGAATGGAATTTTGCTCCATGTCCTCCCAGCTGATATCTTTTTTCGTCGTTTGTTTTAATAGCTCTTCACTCCCCCTGTGTCTTGTTCGGAAGATGGTGTGTCACCTCCTAAGGAGTTTATCCCCTCGGATGCGGTTGGTTATTTCGAGGACGCAGTCGTTTGGCGCCACGGAACCACATTTTGTATAGAATCTTCTTCGATTTACCTGAAATCGTTTTTCTTTTTAACCCTTCATTTTTGTACTTTCCTCCTATGGATCCAGATATGACTGTCAACCCACATTCTGTTTTTACTGGTACCCTATTTCTTCCCACGGGCTATTTGACTGACCACCAGGACTGCGAGGCATGTATGAAAACACTTGCGGGACGTTGTTGTTTGTTTATGCATAATAGATGGGCAATGTAAAACCATTTTATTCACTCGAAAGCACCGCTGCAATGATAATGTGGCATCGCGTCCTCCGGGTCTATGGAATCAGATGCCCACAGTGGGACAAGAAGGGGTGTAGAGCAATATGCTACATATAGTGGTAGGTACCCTGTAGAAACCACATCATGGTCTAAATCAGGATCCATGCAGTCGCTAAATTGTATAACACGCTCTGCCCTTAATTCTGTATCCAGTGTCTTGTTGCCCTTAGCGTACTACTAACAATAAGGCAGGGTCCAAGCCCAACTCTCGACTCTACTATAGGTTCACGCTTCCAGATATCATGCACTCCACTAGTAGTGGCCCATAAGATAAAGTCAGTGCCTACGTCCATTGGCCAACCCGCAACAAAAATTCTATCGCTCGTGGTGAATCCCGGGACGCGATGGCCTGGCAACTAGGTGGATACAGTGGGCACTTTGCATGTCCAGGGCCCGTACTCCGTACATTGCAGGTGATCAGCTTCTAATTGCTACTCTGAGTAATTAGTACATAGTCTAGGCGGTGGCAATCTAGCTGTCTACTGGGGTTGCGGAATATGTTGGTTGTTCCCCGTATGCCTTCTAACCACTGACAACACTGAACTAACAATATGACCCTCCAGAAACCAAGAAATGGAGAAGTAGATTTACTATACTTTGGAGGTATAAAACTCGGAGAGTGAATGAACAATAAACAGTGCACAGGAGATAGTACTACTGTAAATGTTCGTTTCAAGATCCCACTAATAGATTTATGCGGGGATTTCGGCTATGGCAGCGACCACTAAAACTCTAGTTACACATTCTACAACTGACATGATTTATGATTTGCTAAACCATGTTCTTATGACATCCAGCGAGAAATTTCGCGTTGGGTTTTTTAGCGTGTGGCAATTATCAAATTAGAAAACGAAACCAAGGGAAGTTGCCTGGTTAATAATTGATGTTCTCTTCGATGGTAGTTGGTTCAATTGATCCACTATGACATCAAGTCTTGAAACTGGAGTAAATACCCACCCAGTAGTCCTTCTTTTGTTTCTCTCAAGTAATAGACCAGTCTAATAATACTAAGAATAATCGAAATAGTTATCGGGTACTGATGCGCGTGCAGCCCAGCTCGCTGTGCACACAGCCTGTCATTCCGTGCGTACAGTGGGATGCAAAAAGTTTGAAAAAATCTGCTTGACCGCCCTACATACCGCCATATAAAAACCCTACCAAATCCAGCGCTTTAACCTACACACGTCTATCTATACTTTGAATTATAGCCCCTAGGAGGAAGATAGATGCTAGTTATTAAGTTAAGTGACCTGTATACTAAGTAGTCAGGCCAAGGGATGGAGTTTGCGAGGTTTCTGCCACGCAAAATAAACTAATTAGGAAGGCGGTTATGCCTGGCAATAAATGTATAGTTTCCACTGTAGTAGTACAGCTTCTTAGTACTCCTACTTATTTTATTCGCTCCTCAATACCTGGGGGATATCAGGGGGACCCCTACACCCAAGGGTGCTTGTTCTTGTTGATATTAAAAAGATTGTTATCATAAAATAGTTAAGCAAAGAAGAAGATATATAAACCTTATTATCGGACTAACCTAACTAGGAAGGTTTGGCTGTGTAGTGCACAGAGCTGGGCAATACGCGGATTTACCCTAGGTATTCGTCCTTGGGACTCCCACCCAAAAGCGTTTTTCTCCTACCACAGAAAACAGCATTGAACTATCTTCTTGAATTAATGATTTCCGAACAATCGCATCCTTGATTAGTTTTCCCGGTTAGACTTGAGAGTGGCTTAACTCCAGCATGGCAGCAGCCACCAGTTGATACTTATTGTAATTTGATACTCCTTTAATCAACAGCTAGTTAGACAAGTAGATATATATGCATATCTGCTTTCTAGTCATGTATCCGTATTATTCTGAACAGACAACAGGGCATAGTGAGAGATACACATACTCCTCTATATCTTAGATATGTTTACAACCCCAGTATTATTCATCTGCAAGCATATATTTCGAAATTCTGTCATACATTCATTCCTGACGTTAAATCTACAAGGCCACAGTACGTACATCCCCAGAGAGTACAGAATCTGAAGATATCTATAATGACGTACCGGTTCCAAAGTTAAGTCTTACCATGACTTCCCTTTGTTTTTACGAAATATTCAAAAGAGGAGAACAGGAAGAATAGACGCTACCATATTTATAATTTATTCTGAGCTCCCAAGTCCCTGCACCTGCTAGTCCAAGCTCTAGATGGTGGTTTCAACACTAGATAGAAAACCTCGGTCCTTGTAATGTGTATCTTTTGTTCAGTTTTTGTGCTACCCATTGACTTAAAGTTGCGAGGGCTGAGAAGAAAGGGATCTCTATCTAGGCACTACAGACCTACTCTCAAGATTACTCAGTAATTTAGGGCAAGCGTAGAAAACCTAGTCATCATCATTTGTTACACTGTGCTTTCTACTTGGCATTACTAGTGCGCTGCCGTACTGCTGCATATCTACAACAGGCGATAAGCATATATATCCTGGAGTCTATATTGTAAATTCTATGAACCGAAAAGTATGCACTGATCATGAACATTGAAATGTTCTTTATTTATACTAGTCTCCCTGCTGTCATGGACTATGGTCATAGACTTATAATGAAGGCTGTACTTCATCTTGATTCTTCAAAGTTGTAGAAATTGACAGTAGATTTAACATATGACTATAGATAGCAAAGCGAATATGAAACAAACATAAATCATGGTGTATGTTTGCAGGTTAGCTGCAAAATAAAAAAACAGTAACTTTAAGATAGGTGGTATTGCTACTTTTGATCTTTCATTTTTACTCTCCAAAGATTGTTACCTAGTACCAGATAGCCACGAGAGACAGCTTTGGAGAATTTTGGTCAATGGATCCCTGACCTGTTGACTTTCTGGCCATTAAATGCTCCGCAGACCAGGCAATGGATATACTGAGCAAGTTAGAAACTGAAGGAGGTATACAGCCTTGTGTACCAAAGTGCCAGTAAGTTATTTGAGAGAAATTATGGACAAGACAAACTTCAGTGGACTATTCTATCTGCTTCAATAAAACTCACGCCCTGAAAGAGAATAACCCTCTCCAATACAGTGGGGTTCCAAAAGTATGTGACTCCTTATACTTAAAGGTACCTAGTGATTCTATTTGCATGGTACAAGAAGCTATGTACCTTTAAGTATAGGGGGTCACATACTTTTGGACCCCCACTGTACATGATTTACCTGATGGTGGGCAATTCTTCAGGTGCTTGATACTATCACTTTATAGTGCTGATACAAAACTTACAAATAATCTTAGCTTCTGTATCATCTAGGATGATAGTATTCTACTGTGTAAAGGACAAGGTAAATCATCTTACTATTCTACTACACAATGAAAAGGATCCTTTAAGAGCACTAGGTGAATTCTTACATAATCAAGACTTCTCCAAGTCACAAAAGTGGGGCAAGAGCAATTAGCCAACCAGTGTTATATATAATAAGTACATAGTTTGGTAATGTATTTGTAAAATTTACCTGTGTGGTCTTTTTAATTTTATGGTGGTCGGTTGGAAGTTTTCATCGTAACCCATTCATGTAGAACTAAGTTTTGTTATTAATATTACTCTCTCCTCTAATTTAGTAGGAAAGGCAAGGACCTTTCTAGCTAAAATCCGACCATGGTCCACAATGGGTCTGAAAAATCCCCAATGCGTGTAGGTAAATACCAAGCTACGAGATACCAAAATAGATAAAATGTTTGTTTTCTTAACCATCAAGTTCGGTGTATATCTTAGCCTTAGGGTTTAAATTATGTTATAACTTTTCTTCCTAACCACAGTATCATTTGAAACAATATCACCAATACCAATGTTTTGTAAAACAACTATATAAAAGTCTCCAGCGGAGCTTCAAGGGCTAACTAGCTTTGTTTGTTGACTATTGACTATATTGTTGAACAAGTTTTACATGCCTATAGAGTATGCTATGCTGACATCACAGTGGCATGTGGCTAAAATCCATGTTATCTTATTTTGGAATGTGGTCTAGAGATAAATTATTCAGTTGGCACAATGTGAGAAGGGAATAAGGAATGCAGAGATTAAGCATCAGTTGCTCTGTAAGTTTTGACTTTGCTATGGTTCTGAACTGGGCAATCGCCTGAGACGCAATAAGAATAGAAAGGGAACGGAATATCCTGTACCTGGTCACGATTTCAACAATAAGACCAAAATGCCACCCTAAAGACGTGTTGCGCTTCAATTTCCAACTGGAAAAGCTGAGTCAGGTAATTGACTGTAACGAGGCATTTAAATGTATTTGGTGCGTAGGTGAAAGTAGATATTACTATGCGTAATACATATGCAAGGGATGCAATTTTGCAAAAGAACAAACTATTGATTGTCTATGGCCATAAGGGATAGACACCTCTCCAAAGGTTAGTTCGGAGATACGGATATATATATATATTTAACGATTAGTCCTAACTACATATGGTAGCCGGGCATGGTTTCGATGATCATCTGGGGTCTGTCTTTGATACTAATCTGAGAACACTTTGACAAGAACTTCAAGACCACCTTTGTTTCTGTGGGTTAAGCTTTTAGTAAAGGAGACATGTAATCAACCGTAGCCTTCGACGCAGTCATGGGCGAGTCCAGACTAGGAGTAGCACAGCTTGAAACCGGATAGGTACGATACTGAATTTTAATTATGTTGTGCTTAAAAACCACGAGCTATCTCAGTTGATACCCATAGCCTTTCATGCTTTCTGGATCTAGTGCCGAGAATTTTATGGTTGAACAGCCATATACCCAGAGTAGGGACAACATAACAAGCTTGGTATGTACTGATGAACACAACAGTGTATTTTAGTGAAGTTGGTCAGTCAATGCCATAGTATCTAACTAACAAGGTAAGTACCTACCTTACATTGCCGGTGACCAGCCATACTTCTCTTGATAGATGTCGTGATTGGCTGTATTATGCTAGGA